ATTTGGGGATGGATCTTCCCCTGGGCTGGATTGGCCTTATACAGTACTGAGTGACTGATTGTCAGTTGATGTGTATATATATATATATATATATGGATCTTCCCTGGGCTGGATTGGCCATATACAGTACTGAGTTTAATTGTTGAATTTGAAAGCATGCCTATATTTATGTACTATTATTTCTATACTAGACTGTACCTGCTGAGCTTGTCACTACTTTCAGCCCAAAGATTAGTCTTGTTACTTATTAAGTTGGTTGTACTCATACTACACTCTGCATCTCGTATGCAGATCCAGGTGCTTCCAGACACGATGACTGTTAGATCTCAGAGTGTTATCAGTTGGAGACTATCAAGGCAGCTGCCCGACGTTCACTGACCTTGACTCTCTCTTCCTTTCAGTAATTGTATTGTTCTATGTTTTCAGACAATGTTTTTATCAGTCAGACTTGTTATCATTTAGATACTCATGTACTCTATGACACTGGGTTTTGGGAGTGTTTTGTATCTGTAATCGTGAGTTTTTTTTTAATGGAATTTAAATATCATGTTTTCAAACTCAAAAGAAATTATGGTTTTATTGAGGTTGTCGACTTGTCTAGTATTGAGATAGGCGCCATCACGACATGCGGATTTTGGGTCATGACATCATCCCTAGGAGAAAAAGTTTTAAGTACCTTGGGTTTATTATTCAGGGAGATGGGGAGATTGATGAAGATGTCACACATCGTATTGGGGCGGGATGGATGAAATGGAGACTCGCTTCCGGTATTTTGTGTGACAAGAAGGTGCCACAGAAACTTAAAGGTAAGTTCTACAGAGTGGCGGTCAAACCGACGATGTTGTATGGGACTGAGTGTTGGCCAGTCAAGATCGCTCATGTCCAGAAGATGAAAGTAGCAGAGATGAGGATGTTGAGATGGATGTGCGGGCACACTAGATTAGATAGGACTAGAAATGAGGTTATTCGCGACAAGGTGGGTGTGGCCCCTATTGAGGACAAGATGCGGAAAGCGCGACTTAGGTGGTTTGGTCATATGAAGAGAAGGAACACAGACGCCTCGGTGAGAAGGTGTGAGAGGTTGACATTGGAGGGCCTACGGAGAGGTAGAGGTAGGACAAAGAAGAGGTGGGAAAAGGTGATTAGGCAAGACATAGCGCAACTTCAGCTGACCAAGGACATGACCCTTGATAGAAAAGTATGGAGGTCGAGGATTAAGGTAGTAGAGTAGGTAGTCTAGAGTGTTCTTAACAGTAGTATCGGCACACAATCTCGCTTTCTGTTGATAGTAGGTTTTTATTGACTAACCGTTATTTTCTTTCATTGTGATCACCTTACTATCTTGTTGTCTTTATTCTGCTTTTTATATGGATTTTTTGGATTGTCCTTTCTTGTCTATATTTTCATTAATGTGGTGGTTATGCTTTCCTGAGCCGAGGGTATATTGGAAACAATCTCTCTATCCTCACAAGGTAGGGGTAAGGTCTGGATATACATTACCCTGCCGAGACCCAACAGTGTGGGATAATACTGGGTAATCAACAGAAGGTAACTTATTAGTATATAATTGGGGGCTATATGGAACTACATGATGCAAATTGATACATCATTTCAGAAAGTGGAAATAACGGCTTTCAATTGCCAAGTCACATGCATGTGAGCAGTTATTTCCGCATAGGAAAACAATTATTTGAACGTCAGAGACACTTGCGCCAAAAATAGTAATCTTCAGGTAAATGACTTGACAGCTACATGTACTTGTAAGGACGTGCAATTTGCAGATAACTGCAATGGATATATGAAAAGATTAAGCAGGCGAGGGCAGGTATGGGAGTTGCAATTTGATACATATATATAAAAGAATTTTTTTCCATATTGAAATAATTACATAAATTAAGGAGGGCAACATCAATCTTTTACATTTTAGGGCTCAAGATGTTGGTACATATTTGGTCTATGTTTGACACAAACATTAATGCGTTATTTACACAAATAGCTAGCCGAATTCATTATTTACTTTTCATAGTCAATATATAAAAATTATGCACATATTATACATAAATTACATATATATATTATACATAAGCCAACTATTTTTAGTTTAAGCTGTTCGTGAACTATCATATGAATTAATTAACATGTCCAAAGTGGGAAACAATAGGGAATGGTGTGGGAAACAATTAGGAATGGTGGTGTAGTCATAAGCTTACGACCACCGCCAACCAAGAAAGCCACTGTTAAAGTTCTTATTATCTGCTACAGTCCATTTTATACTTCCTCCTACTACTTTATAATAGTTTTTCTATGTTATTGCGCGTAACTCGCAGTTCTTGAGGAAACTCAAAGCTATAGAGTATGGTACATAAAGATTTTATGAGTGCTGCAAGACTATTCATAGTAAAAATAATTTGGTCTTTAATATTTTCAATTTAGAAAATTAAAAAACGCTTTAATTATTTTTTTCAGTTTTACACTCTTACTACTCCAAGAAGACACATATAATCATTAGTTACTCATTTAGGAAAGAAATATAGATAATTTTGCAAAATAAACCTTATGACTAATATTATTGAAATTTTAGTAGTGAGTATACCAATATTTTAAACAACATATAAAAAGGTTCGCAGGGATTAACAATTATGACTAGTGGCCTCTTGGTACTTACCAGTTAGTACCTTTTCCAGAGTTTCTGCATTGTAGGAACTGAAATTCACACAATTATTTGTTAAAAGCTTTCCATTACAAGACCACCTATTTCCGAGGCATCAAGCTTTTGAATTGTACATCAGCCTAGAATTAAATATAGGAAAACGAGTGAGCTCTTTTGCCACTTCAGGCTGATGCATTCACAGGAATTAATTATGTAAATTTAAATGTCTTTATGTGAAGTAGGGACCCATAGCCCATAACAACAGTTGAACTGCAGTGGCAACATATGCAAGCCGCGCGCTAATATAAATAGAACATTTCAAGTGCAAACTTATCAAACACCAATACTTCAATTCAATCTTATTATCAAACACCAATACTACTTAGGTACATTCAATAACAAAAAGTGATCATGGGTATTCGTTTGCTAAATATGATTTCCAGTGTCAAGCAATTCCACAAACTGCACTCTATTCTAACTAGGAATCATTCAGATGTTCCAAAAGGACATTTTGCAGTTTACGTAGGAGAGACAGAGAAGAAACGGTACGTCGTTCCCATTGCATACTTGAATCAAGCTTCGTTCCAGGAATTGCTTTTGAAAGCAGAGGAAGAGTTTGGGTTTCAACATCCTATGGGTGGTCTCACTTTACCATGCAATGAGAATGCATTTTTTCATGTCACTTCTCAATTGAACAGTTTATGATCATATGAAATGAAGCAGCATTCTATAGACTCACTAGATCAGAGCTTAGGATTTTTCTGTTTCATTTTTTATTTTTTATTTTTTCCTCTTGCCACGCGAAGCAAGAGCTGTAAAATTATATACAAAGCCTTTTCTACCGGTTCATATTGTTGAAAGAACTGGAAAGGAAAGCGTATAATCAAACTTTAACTATGTTGTCTTTGAAAATGGAATGCCTAATTCATTGAAATTGTATCTGCAGAGAGCAAACCAGTACTTCACATTGTGCAATGGAACTGCGCAAGTAGCATTTATTGACTGTGTTATAATTCCATTAATAGAAAGAAATATGATTTGCCTTGTGAAAATCACCTATACACCTTTCTAAATTAGTACACCTAAGCTATTTTATACCTTAGAGTCAGAAGAAATCAGCATTTGCATCAGTTTTGAATGCACAAAGTTTAAGGATATATCTTCATAGGTACCAGGTTTGTTAAATCATTAAAACTTCTTAACAGAACTTATCATGTTTAGACATCACTAAATGTCTTTAACCAAAGATGGACCCCCGGAGTTTCGTATCACTTATCCAACAATTCAAGTTGTCATTGTCTCATTGATCCTTGGACAAGCGACTTTATTCATTCATAGTGCTCTAGTCTTGTGGGGGGGGGGGGGGTCGCTTTTCAATTATGAGGAAGTAGTAGGACCTGATGTTTTCTTCAGCAAGTATATGGTCTAAGTACTTTGACAATTAATGAATTGGAAAGCAAATCCATATGATGTTTCATATGCAATTGTCTCTCAACAGTTATAAAGATTTTCCTTTCATTTATATTATTTATTTCTGGCGCTTTTGAGGAGCAAGAAACAGTTTTTCTCCCAGAAAAGAAGAATTTCATTGGGGTTTAACCCCCTTTAAAGCTACAGAATATAGAAATAGGTGTACATCATTGGTCTATGTTAAAGAGTAAAACCCTTTATCTTGGAAAATTCAGTTCAAGAAAAAAAGGCATCATTAAACTGAAACTTTGTGCTGGGAACTCCAACTTCATTCTTTTCTGATCTCAGTTGTTACTTTAGCTGAGCAAGATTAGCACAAGAATAGATGACCTTTGTATATGTGATGTGTTTTAAATGCCAACAGAGTGAAAATGTCAATAGGGCGCTCAAATGTTCTGCGCTAGTCCTACTATTACCAAATTAGTGTGGGTCATCCTATAAATTAAGGAAAATAACTTTCTTGTCTTATCTTGTCTTTTCTTTTACATTGTCAAATATGGTAGGCTGGAGAAGGAAAATGTCAAATTGTTAGGCGGAACAAAGAAAAGATCAATCAATCCTTCATTCTGATTGGTTGAAGAGGTAGGCTATTTCTCCTATAAAAGGAGAGCTTCGTCTTCTTCATTTCACCACACAGAAAGAGAAGCAACACAGTAGTTGCGGAGAGTATTTCTTAGGCATTGTGAGAAATAGATTGTGTAGAGGAAAATAGAGAGTGAGCGATATTATAGTGAGGTGGAAATATCAAAAGGGAGTTATTTCTTTTGAGTGTTATACTGGACTTTGGAGTATTTTACTCGGACCTACAAAGTGTAAAATTCCTTGCTATAGAGATATTAGTTGCTCGTCTCGGGGCCGTAATTTTTTCCCTTATTCAAAAGGATTTTCCACGTATAAATCTTGGTGTCGTAGTCACTCTTTTATTCTTGTTAATTACCGTATCTCGATGCTACGTTATTATTTCGCTTTTATTACTGTGAATATTATTTATGTAAGGGGTTTATTCCCAACAACTGGTATCAGAGCACATGTTCTACTCGTTCACAGAAATACTATTCATTGTCGGTAGTACTATACTCAGTGAAAAATAAAAATGTCCGGAGTAAAGTACAAGGTAGCAAACTTTAATGGAGATAGCGGTTTCTCAACATGGCAAAGAATGATGGGAGATCTGCTTATCCAACAAGGATTACACAAGGTACTATATGTTGATGCCAAAATGCCTGATACCATGAAAGCTGAGGATTGGGGTGACTTGGATAAAAGGGTTGCCAGTGCAATACTTATTAGATGATGTGGTAAATAATATCATTGATGAAGACACCGCACGTGGCATTTGGACAAGGCTGGAAAGCCTATACATGCCCAAAACGCTAACAAATAAATTATACCTGAAGAAGCAGCTATACGCCCTACACATGGGTGAAGGTACGAATTTTTGTCACATTTAATAATCACACAGCTCGCCAATCTCGGAGCAAAAATCGAGGAAGAAGATAAAGCCATCTTGCTGTTGAACTCGTTGCCATCTTCGTACGATAATCTAGTAACAATAATCCTGCACGGTAAGACTACCATTGAGTTGAAAGATGTCACATCGGCTCTTTTACTCAATAAGAAGATGAGAAAGGAGCCTGAAAATCAAGGACATGCTCTCATCACAGAAGGTAGAGGCAAGAGTTATCAAAGGAATTCGAGCAACTATGGTAGATCCGGAGCTCGTGGGAAGTCTAAGAACCGATCCAAATCAAGAGCTAGAAATTGCTACAATTGTGATCAACTAGGTCACTTCAAAATAGATTGCCCAAATCCAACGAAGGAAAAAGGTGAAACTAGTGTCTAGAAGAATGACAATAACACAACCGCCATGGTGCAAAACAATGATAATGTTGTCCTCTATATAAACGAAGAAGAGGAATGCATGCACTTATCAGGCCCAGAGTCGGAATGGGTGGTTGATACAGCAATATCTTACCATGCCACACCGGTAAGAGATCTTTTTTACAGATATGTAACAGGTGATTTCGTCCTTGTGAGAATGGGTAACACAAGTTACTCAAAGATTGCGGAGATTGGTGACATTTGTATCAAGACAAATGTCGGATGCACATTGGTTCTGAAGGACGTGCGACATGTACCTGATCTGCGGATGAACTTGATCTCGAAAATTGCTTTAGACCGAGATGGATACGAGAACTATTTTGCAAATCAAAAGTGGAGACTCACCAAGGGATCATTGGTGATTGCAAAGGGAGTTGCTCATGGCACGTTGTACAGGACAAATGCAGAAATATGCCAAGGTGAATTGAACGCGGCACAAAATGAGATTTCTGCATATTTGTGGTACAAAAGAATGGGTCATATGAGCGAGAAGGGATTGTAGATTCTTGCCAAGAAAT